TTGAAAACCACCCTCAGGGGACCAGCAGGTGGTGTGGCGGTTAAGGTGCTGGACACGCCTACATGGCTGACCACAGTTTGTGTCATTGACCTGGTGGCTTGCTTTCTCACTTTCTCTTTTCTCTCTGTCTCTCTCTGGTCAAATTAAAATAAATTAATGAATAAATAAAATTAAATAAATAATTCTTTAAAGAAAAAAAAGAAAACCAGCTTCAAATGTAAATCTTTTAATTTTTTTTTTTTGGAGAGGTTTTTTATTTTTGCTATAGAGAGCGTGTACTCTCCAGAAAGAGAAAGACAGAGAGACAGAAGGTGAGAAATCGCCCCCAATGGGAGATGGCCACACTTCAATCCCTTCTCCTCCGTTCTCCTCTCAGGCTCTTGGGCACAGATGTACATGTGTCTGGTGTGAGTTTAAGCCACCAGGTCCGACATTCAAACAGCGATCAACCACGTGGGAGCCCAGCAACATAACCATTATGCCAACTTCTGGTCCCATCTTTTGAAAATTTTTAAATGATATTAAGCTAAAACTTTAAGAACAGAAGATATTAGAATAATAAAAAAATGGTAAGTATAACAAATGATTAAATTGATAAATTTAGGATCATGTTATGGAGCCTTGAGTAATAACTACCATTTATTGAATGCTTATTATATACTCACATGAGGTTAAGAATTTATGTATATAGTACTTTTATAATTTTCTTTGAATAATACTAAGTAATTAAAAATTTTATTTTCATAAATAAAGATAATCAGTTCGAGAATGTTATGTATCTCACCTAAGTAACCAGAATATACAGGGAACTCAAGCAGTTTATTCCTCAACAAATAATCGATCCAATTAAAAGATGGGGGAATGACCCAAACAGACAACTCTCCAAGGAAGGCATACAAATGGCAAAATAATAATAATAATAATAAATAAAATAAAAAGTAAAAATAAAACATGCTCAACATCTCTTACCATAAGGAAAATGCAAATCAAAGTCATGATGAGATACCACTTACCCCCAGTCAGGATAGCTAACATTTAAAAAAATACAGAATGATAAATACTGGTGAGGCTGTGGTAAAAAGGGAACCTTCCTACACTGCTGGTGTGAATGTAAATTGCTATAGCTACTATGGAGAACAATAAGTAGGTTCCTCAGAAACCTACAAATAGAACTACCACATGACCCAGTAATTTCACTCCTAGCTATCTAAAAAAGGATAAGAAAATACTTAGAAAAACACTTGGACTCCAAGAATTATTCACTATTGCTAAGACTTGGAATCAGTCCAAATGTCCAAGAACAGATGAATGGATTGAAAAAATACGGTACATATACACTATGGAATATTACTCAACCATAAAGAACAGTGAGACCCTGACATTGATACAAAGTGGATGCGTATGGAAGATTTACTCCTAAATGAAGTAAGCCAGACCATGAAAGAGAGGCATTATATGTCCTTGTTTAATACATACCAAATATGTGCACTTTATGGCAGAAATGGAAAGATTGGAAGGTATAGTACCAAGGAGGGCAAATAGGAGGGAAGAAGGTGGGGTGAGAGGGGGAGGGAGGGAGGTATCAGGAGGAAAAAGCATTTAACAAAAATATGAAAAGTTATCTGTCACTGATAATGTACATGGTAATATCTATGATTTGGCTAATATACATTGCATTCATGCTGGGAAAACCATTTTGTATGCTGTAAAGATACACAGTGATTAAATAGAAATAGAAAGAAAGAAAGAAAAAGAAAGAAAGAAAGAAAGAAAGAAAGAAAGTAAAAGTTACCTAAATAATAGAGCAAGTGGTGGAATCAGGACATAAACTGAGCAGTTTGGATCCAGTCAATTCCTGTTGTAACTATAATTTAAATAAAATTATATAACACTATGATGTCTACTGGATATGGGTAGATAGCAGATTGGTCTTTCAGCAATCTAACAGGTAAAATTCTAATAATAGAAAATGCCAGATTTTTACATAGCTAATATTCAGCTGGACCCTCATCTCCAAGTTTTCTAGCTTTGTATCCTTGAATTTGTCCAAAATGTCTAGTTGCCTGTAACACTATAGCATATAGACCAATCCAAAAAGTAGGTCTTTTTACAAGATATTAACAATAAATTCTCTATACATCTAAAAATTAGTAAACTTCCTGGCATTATTACTGAGTTTAAATTTTAGACCAAGTTTAGATGGTGTTAAAAGACCATGTGAGTGTCTGGTTTTATGGATTATTGATGAAGAATCTGATAAGTTGAATTATGTCTGCTTTTTCATGCTAAAAATACTGTGTAAATTTTCGTATATTAAGCTGAAGTTACTTTTTTGCTGACTGCTTGAATACACCTACCTGTTGGTCAACTATGGCAGCTGAGAACATATATAGCTTTAGAGAACAAGGGAATCTCAAACAGTAAATGAAAATCTACACATCAGATTTGTTCACATAAGCCAAAATGTTACCTCTTAAAATAGAAATTCACCCATCTTACAGTATTAAATTCAAAGACCTTGTTGTTAAATAGAACCTATGCTGTCTGATATTATTTACCTTTGGGGATAAATCTCCGAAAATTCTAGAGACTCAAATATGAATTCAAAAACACCAGGAGTCATTACTACATTCTCAAGTGAATATTGAGTAGCTCAATTCACATAAACACAACTCATCCTCAAGGATTCTGTCAATTCTCAAGTGATTTTTTTTTTAATGCAAGTGTTGACTTGCTTTCATTTAGTAATTATTGAACATAAAATGTAACATATTTCATAGTTAAATGTTAGTTCCAAGTTCTAAGTTTTTATTTTTGTGTTTCAGTTTAAAGAACACTAAAAGTCAAATAAAAAAAAAACTGTAACCTTCACTTCACTCATCCATTCATATATGTTATTACATGTGTCATGTAGTAATCGGTAAAAGGCACTTAGGTATCTTGGGGAACATAGGGTGGGATGCCACAAAAAGTTGAATTTGAAATAACATAATTATTTAAGAAACATACGTATTTTTCTAGCAAGATTTATAAAATAAATACTTTTAAGTTGTATACATATAGAACTTTGAGGTAGGAAAAATTTGGATGACCTCCAAGAAAGATAGTCTGTCATACCACATGTCTCAAAATGACAGCTGCTTAGAGACTTAGATGACTCAATGGATGATGGTAGATATAGTAGCCTTCAATCTGAAGATCAAATCTGATTCCACTGCTAATCATAATTTTAGAAATTCCTACATCACCCTTCCTTTATGGAAAGAGTTCACACTGATAATACTAACAGACCTTCATTCAGAGCTTACTCCGAGTCAAGTCCTTCTTTAATGTTTCACATACACTATCTCACTAAGTCTCATAATAATTTGATGAGTTAAATATCCTCATAAATATCCAATGCCTTGACCACAACGTCACATGCTGGCCCCTCGATAGTAAATTTTAATCCAAGTTTAAAATTCAGGTAAGACTGAATGTTAGAATGTGTACTCTGAACTCCTACTCTCAACAGATTTAAGTGCCTCAATGATGACCACTAGTTCCCAACTCATCCTGATGTACATTTCTGTCTTCCCAGTCTCAACATCCTGTCCTATTGCCTAAAACTAGCTGGTCCAACAGTCTGACCGTCAGCAACAGCCAGTATTCAGGATACTCATTTATTCTCACATGCTTTTCATTGACCAACTTTCATTAATATTATCTCCTAGATTCCTATAAAGTGTGCACTTTTCTCTACCTCTCCACTGTAATGGCTGTTCTACTGATTTTCACACACCAGCTGGAGTGAGTTATTTGTTCAGGAATTCATTTCATTTTTAGTACTATCAAATAAATGCATACACTCTATCAGTTTATTTTATGTAACTCAAGCAGAAAGCCTGAGACTGGATAATTTATAAAGAAAATTAATTTATTGTCACAGTTCTTGAAGCTAGGATGTTTGAGAGAACTGCAGGAGAATCTCCTTAGCTTCTGGTGAGGGTCCCATATTATTTAACCTCATTGGAAAAGCCAGAAGGTCTGAACAAAGAAGAAAGGGACCAACGGAGTTCACCCACTTTAAACAAATCATTCTTATAATAACTAATCAATTTCATGAAAATGAATTGTCTCTTCATGAAAACAGAATCCCCATTACCCAAATGTCTCTTAAAAGTCCTACTACCTCCAGCAATGTTACACTAAAGACCAATTTCACCATAAGTTTTGGTAGGGACAAATTGCATCCAAGCCACAGCAATCTACCTCTGGCCTCCAAAAGAGCATGTCTTTCTCACATATAAAATGCAACCATTTCATCCTAATAGTCCCCCAAAATTATTTAATTCATTCTGGCATGAATTCAAAAGTCCAAGTCCCAAATCTTTCCTGAGACTCAAGGTAGATGTTTGCTGGCTCTAAGCTTGTTGTCCACTTCCAAAATATAATGGCAGAGCAGGGAAGGAATAGACATTCTCATTTCAAAATGGACTGAGAAGCAAGAATAGA